CGGACAAAAGCCATCATATGTTATTAACTCTATCTAAATCAAAAGTCATCATATGTTATTAACTCTATCTAAATCATAGTTTCATCATTTACGCATCATGTCTTCTTATAACTTAAGAGCCATTAGGTACAACTCATCAAATCTATTAGTAATTTGATAAATAAAAACAAAAGAACTCAAGAGAGTAACTTTTCATATTCATTCTAAATTTCTAACAAAAGTTAAAACACTGAAAAAGCAGAGGTCAAAAAGATTCAAAATCGAAAAGTTTTGAAATAAAGAGAGTAAAGAGGAATTGTAAAAATACTCATAAAATATCAAAATCAAAACAATTGGTCTAAAATTCTAAGTATCGAACTTATTTTTGGTATTTACAATTTAAGAAGAAAAATATCAAAAACAAACGAAACTGGATTTGTTATTGAAAATAACAAACAATCATTGTAGAATTTGATTTCAATCCCTTAACTTGAATTAGAAAAAATTAAATCAATAACCTAACATGATGAGTTTCCAGTTTTATTTGTAGCTTGGTTCTATGTTAATTATATGTCTCTAAATTTATGATTATTAAAAAAATTATTGAGTAGTTTTTGAGTTTACTTGGAACAAACACAATAATTAAGAAATAAGGGTTTCATTAGAAATTTAGTACTTTTAAACTTTTTATTTCAAACGAAATGTTCATAAATCATATCTTAGTTAAGTGTTTGACAGATTATCCGGGAACCCGCAACGGATAAATTCGCTTAGCTCACAAGCCCTAACAGGCCGATCCGCAAAGTCTGCTTTTAAATGGGCTTAATAAATTATGTTTAAGTCTGCCCCGTGATAGACCTATATGGGCCTAACCCGCGGATCGCAGGCTCGATTGACAGCTAGCTTTACACTTATCATTCCTTGGATAGTGAATTAATTTCTATTACATTAAACTTTAGTTATAAAATTCAATAATCCCAAATAAAAACGATAGATGTTTTTTTTTTTTTTTGAACTTTAAAAATAATAGATGTTAAGAGTCAGTAGCTTATGAACAATATGTTACATCGACTTGAATCAATTTCTTATTACATTAAATTTTTAGTTATAAAAAACAGACTAATCTTAAGAGGTAGGTATTGCATGAAAAAAAATCAGAGAACAAAAACCGGTAACTGAATATTGTAACCGCAACTTTAAAATCAGCCTTTTAATTTTTCTATTAGTTTGCCGAGACAAGAGAACACCACGCTGAAATAAATAGATAATCTAACCACCATTTTAAGTAGATTGATAAATATATGAAACGTTCATGTAAGAAATCAGAAGAAATAACTATTATCGGATTGAAAGAATTAGCCATTCAATAATTTAAAATCGGGCTATAAGTAACCGCACACATACATTAACATCCATTGGAGTATTACATGTCACAAATTAAAAAAAACTTATGGACGACATCAATGAACATCAAACAAAGTAAATTAAATTTCCAAAGATTCTCTAAATCAAAAGTAATATCTTCCTGAAATGCCTCACCAAAAATAATCCGTGGCTCAGTTGAATAAATAGTCAAACCGTAAAATAGGTTGTTTTGGCTAACAAGTGGTGTACAAAAGAGAAGCCCCATCCTGCGTCGATGAGGCAGAGAGTTTCTTCCTTTGTATGTTACCCGTGATTGCTGCAGAGAGGTCTTCCTTTGTTGCGGTGTGAATGAGTATACAGTTTTAACTTCCGATTAACAAAACACAGCAATAACATTCAAGGTTTTGGTAAATAACATGAGAATTATAAGATCATTTAAACATATGATGACAAGAAAGACCTTAAAAGACATTGATGAGCAAGGTAAACTCATGTTGATTGACTCCATCTTCTTCCTTGAAGATTTGCCGTTTCTCTTCCCATTTTCCTTTTTTTTTCAAACTTAGCCACGGCAGATTCATTTGCATTACCTGGATAGTGAGTTAATAGAGATTGAACTATTCAGCACTCAATTCACAAAAATATTTAACTTAAGAAAGACAACCTACTACACATTTATAATCTATATAGTGCTAAGAAGACTTAATTCAAAATGCTTTTCAAACAATTTTATCAATCATTTTTAATTTGGTTTCTTAAACCAACACAACAAGGGTCAACAATCAGAAACCAAAAACTGCTAAAATGACAAAAATCTCATAATCTTATTTCCTTCCCTATTATGACTTTTTATCCCCCAAAA